GTGAGTTCAGGGTCAATCCAAAGAATGAATCAATATTATCAAGAGGTAAACCATCGTCAAAAGTAATATTAAAATCAAAAAGGAAAAAGAACGACAATACCGCGTAAAGAATTCTGAATTTGAAACAAATCAGAATTAGTGGTGTAAAAAACGGTGTCATCGGCATAAAAATGTACAGAAGAATTCAGGCATATTTGAGGTCTTTCGTTAATAAAAATAGAAAAACGTAGTGGTCCCTGGGTAGAACCTTGAGGAACACCTTTTTCAACAATTACATAATTAGACTGAAAACCCAGGAAAACAACATACTGATGCCTGTTATGAAGATAAGCATTAAACCAAAGAAGGGCATTTTCAGTTAAACCAATAGAATGTATATTAACTCATTAAACATTCTATTATAATTGATTAAAATAAGTTTCTCAAAAATGTGTTCTGTAATAGAACAAATAATAGAAACTGGACGATAATTATTCACATCAGTGCAAGCCAATGGCAATATATTGAGGTCTTTTGGAGCAAAATGATCTGTCTGTGCAACAAACTGAACATTGTTTACATTACACAACAAATGATCACATGTATAATGAGATCAGCATCAATTCCAGCATGCTATATGCTTGCTTTAAACAGATGGTGACCTAACTCCAGATCTGTACACCTGTTTTCACAATCCCGTCCCATCATGTGTTTGGGAGCAAGACCTCCATAAAAATGGTGTCAGGTTTCCATAATTATTGTCTTTGACCCCTGGCCCGTGTTTTGCTTGAGAAGCCGGATGAGAGAACATGGCGTAATTTATCCTCATCATTTATTATTTCCATATCCATTAATTTCCCATATCAGATCCATGATCCTGATCCACGATCCGCCTCCATATCGGCATCCTGCTTCTGCAAGGCTCAAATCATCATGGTGCATTAAAGAATTATAACAGCAAGAACAAATGGGTCTGCTTGTCATCAGATGCTCTTATAGAGCATCATATTATCACAGCAAATATGACTCGAGTACAGTATTCACATGCATTAAAGAGGAGGAAGGTTTCATATGATATCCGATTACATGTCTGCTACATCACGCCTAATTTGTCAGCTGTAGGCAACCGTATGTTCATTCCTACACTTTAGTCAAGCTAATGCTATCAGGCACAGATGGGAAAGCATAGAAGATATCAATCTTCATCTCTGAGACGAGCCTTAAACACACTACCAGATGCTTCTAAAGCACATTTGCCAAAAATCAAAATATGCAAATAATTCAAAGCTACTCTGACATATTCTGATATGCGATCTGGTTAGCTATATGTACTTTTTTTCAGGATTCTTTGATGAATATAAAGTAAAAAAAGAACAGCATTTATTCAAAATAAAAATATTTTGTAACAACACATAAGTTCTTTTACTATCACTTTTTATTAATTTGACTTATCTTTGCTGAATAAAAGTATTATTTTCTTTAAAGAAAATTAGTACGGTAGTGTATATTGTTACAAAATATATATTTTTATTTTTGAATAATTGCTTTCTATTCATCAGATAATTCTGAAAAAAATATAACTCTGGTTGCAAAAAAAATACATATATATATATATATA